CGAGAAAATAACAGAAGAGAGATTACAGCAATGGTTGGAGGAAAAATAAAGAACAGAAGAACGAGAAAATAAACAAGAAGAGAGATTACAAAAGTTGTTGGAGGAAAAAGAAAAGAGATTACAACAGTTGTTGGAGGAAAAAGAAAAGAAACAAGAAGAGACACAACAGCAGTTGCAAGAAAACCTGCAACAATGGCGGCTCGAACAGCAAAATAAACAAGAGAAATTAGAGCAGTTGTTGGAGGAAAAGGAAAAGAAACAAGAAGTACGAGAAAAGAAACAAGAAGATAGATTACAGCAGTGGCAACTAGAACAAGAAAGGAAACAGGAAGAAAGTATCCAACAGTTGTAGGAAAGTCAGCAGCAACTACAGTGGCAAGAAGTACAAATAGAAAACATTTGTAAATTTAAAAGCGAATTAGATACGTTAAAGGACAATTTATTATATTTTACACAAGGAGGATACATTAACCATCGACTTAACCAGCCCCAGACAATGACAAGCCCCTTCCAAACCCTGCAGCTAAACCCTAATGCAGGCAATCACCATCCAATAAAGATCCCTCCAAGGAGAATAGCTCCAGCAAAGCGACAAGAGATAGAGAAGGTCATGGATGGTCTAATTAAGGAAGGGATAGTCGAGAAATCAGATAGTCCCTGGTCAGCTCCCGTTGTATTAGTCCAGAAGAAGGATGGAATCCAATATTGCTGTGTGGACTTCAGGGCTCTTAACAGCATAACCAAAAAAGACACAAACCCACAGCCAAGAATTGATGATACTCTTGATGCCCTAAGTGGAGCCAGGTGGTTTTCAACTCTGGATTTAAAGTCAGGTTTCCATCAAGTAAAAATGGCTAAAGCGGATAGACCCAAGACAGCATTTAGTTATGGCTAAGGTCTCTGGCAACACCGAGTGATGCCATTTGGGCTCAGTAATGCTCCAGCAACATTTAAGAGGCTGATGGAACGAGTATTGGAAGGCCTACAATGGAGGATAGCCCTAGTGTACCTGGATGATGTCATTGTATTTGCTACAACTTTTGATGTGAAAATGTCCCGGTTGGAGGAAGTATTCAAGCGTTTGAAAGCAGCAAACCTCAAATTCCATCCCAAGAAATGTCATTTGTTCCAGAAAGAGGTGCTTTGGAGGAGTTTTGTCTCAGAAAGTGGGCAAAAACGCTGGTTAAGATCATTAAAGAACCCAGAGGGACAACTAGCACATTGGATCTGAAAAATAGACCAGTATAA